AATTCCTTGTTCGGTTGAGCGCATCCCTCCTTTAAGGTTGTCAAGATAGTCACAAGTTTCCAATCCCTCTACTCTCACTTCACTGTTGGTAGGATAAATGTTTTGTTAATATCAAAAGCTTATTGAAGATGGCACATTAGACATGATGGATAAATCAATAACCAAAGTTCCTTTTCAGTTATTCTATTTCTAGCGTCAACAAAACAAGCCTTTGATCATAATATAATAGCTAACCCTACCTTGTATCAAGAAGCAAGCTCACATATCATAAGATTTTGGAAAAGCTTTTCAATTGTGAGACATGTAATTTCCATTTCAGTGCTTGTTATGCTAGAAGGGCAGATCCATTACCCAATATCAGAGACAGCCAAATACGCGAGATACGCAAATGTGAAAGTGAATGGCTTGCTACAGACATTCTGGACACATGAAACAAGAATCAGGCTTCCATCATCTGCCAGAACCACTCTAAGATGAAACTTGAACCTGCAAGAGAAAAATTCATAAATGAGGCACATACATATATATTTACGTTCTGAGCTATAAATTGCAGGGGATCATTGTTATAGGAGTACAATGCAATGCATATAGGCACATACTTGTGTGGCCAGATCTTGAGATCAACTGCACATGGATTAAGTAGCAAGTCAACATGGGTCATGCCACCTTCTGGCAATGGTGGTGGATCACGATCAATGGTCCAAAGCCTGTCCATGGCAAACCCACGTTTCTCCAGTGTTTCTTGGGTGCCAAACTATCACATGGAATGAATGCAAGAATCAGATTAATGCAGAGTATCACCGATGAATTCAAGAACCAAATATCCGAAGTACCTGCGGGAAACATATGGGAATTCCTCCTCGCACTGCATGTGGTGGAGGCTTGTATACAGCCTACAGTACATTAAATTAGGAAGAAAAAACAAATAATTCATCAAACAGATAGAAAAACCATCAAAAATGGCGAAGAACATTGAAATGCAAGTACATGGAATGGAATCAAGAAGAAGAAGGAAAATTTCATCGACACAGGTTACAAACTATCACAAGAACACAAAAATGGCGATTTGACCATATACTTGTGAATAAAGGAAATCAATAAGAGCAAGAATTTCAAAGAACAGATTACAAGAATCCAAAAACAGATTAGAACACCGATCAAAAACAAGATTTACCTTACTACCCATGAACAACAGTTCTTCCGCACGGTCTGTCTTCCAAGATAGAACCTGCCCTCCATGGCAACTAACCTACATTCATTGATTTCAGAGAACAAGAAGCAAAGAACGATTAACTCCATTGATAACCCAAGCACAAGAAAGAGAAAGAAAGATTGCTGACCTCAACAGTAGCCCCTGTAGGATTCCGAAGCAAAATCAACTCAACTCCGTTTCCATCCCTTCCAACTTCAACCGATCCTCTCAGACTCTGATCACTGGCTGCCGCAGAACCAGCCATGGCAAAAACCCAAATCAGGAAACAAAACAAGAAGAAAGAAAACTCTACTTTATATCTTTTACTCTCTTTCTCTGTAAAATGAACTAGAAAATATATGGAGGAGTAGAGGGTCTTATATATAGCAGTTGAGAATCTGGACTTCCCTCCATACTATTTGGATAAATTTTTATCCGTTTTTATCGGGAAATAATAACTAACAATGCAACTAACTACCTTACCCTTTCTTCACCCCTATAACTACCAAGGATGGGAAATCCAACAGAATACAAGACAGAAAAGAAATTCTCAAAACAGTCCCAATTCTGTAACTGTGAAAGAGCTAGAAAACAGAAAAAACGAAAGTGTCATCTGGGTTCGAAAGATAACCAAAAAAAGGGGTTAATTCCCCAACTGAAATTCATTCAAGTGGGGGCCAGTGTTAAAGAACCAATAGGATGGATTTATGTTTTACATACTGTACATTAAAAATGTAGCCCACTATATGAATTTACTAAAACACATTTAACAAAATAATAAATAATTTTATAAAGTAAACTATATTTTTATAATACAGTCTGTCATGTAACTGCATTTTTTTTCACAAACATTTATATATAGGACTAGAAACGATAGGAAATTTCATTAAAAAAAAGAGGGAGAATAACAAAGAAGGAATGAAATGTATGCATTTTTCTCAGGCAAGACATGAATTCAAGGGAACCCATTTTGTATTAGTGAAGGAAGATTGACAAAAAAAATAAAAAAAGTTGAATTCTGAGGAGATCATTTATATATGAAATCTCAAATATTAATCTTTAGACCAAGGAATGGACCGGTGTGAACAGGGGACCGTGTTTAACTGAATTAACGACCCACTGAAAAAAACAAAAATTCCTTGGGGGGACTTCAATCATAAAGTAGCATGAGTGTATAAGTCACATGGAAGTCCCCCAAGGAATTTTTTTATTCGCACATCCCCAGAAAAAGGGATGTTGTTACTGAACAGGGAGAGTTTTGATAGTTCATAGAATAATTAAAATCAATACTTGTCTATAAATGAAATGGAAGGAATAAAGGGGTAGGACAAGATACTCTTATCTTTTTTCTTCCTCGACTACCGATTAATCTTCACTTTCCTGTTAATGGGTATTAAGGGGTGCCCTAGATTTAGGGGTAACTATCTCTTTATCTTACCTAAATACAAAGAACTGTAGTCTATGGTTATTAAGGATATTAAGCCGCCATAATCTGTAGAGGTAATGTGGCAAAAAAGGTCGATGCTAATTTACAACAACCAAAGACATACTGCCATGAATCCTCATATTCTGCAGCCCTTTTCTCAAAATTTCTGTAATATTAGAACTTTAGAACATCTAATAAAACGGGAGGGAGTGAGTAAATTGTCCGATGCAATAGTGCTATTTTTAGTGATTCCAAGTCCAATGGTTTCAAAGTATATGTTCACTCTAGAATAAACAAATATTTTCCTGAGTGCTCTTGTTGTGTTTTTATCTATTTGGATTTATTCATTTCTAGTATGAATTTCTTCCTTTTGATAAAATTTCAGTTTTTAGAAAGGACAGGGCTCAAGGGAAAGATTTTGGCTTCTGGGTATGGGCATTCACCGGGTTCACTGTTTTATTTACCGCTGTTGAAGAAATATTTGGTGTTTATTGATGATCACTGATGTTTGTCTCCAAAGGCATGAATTTTATTTTGGTTTTTCATGATTAGCTGTTGTTGATGTTTACGAATGGCTACTGCATTTTAAGTTGGAAAATAATAAAAAAAGAAGTTTCTTTTTTGAAAAATGATATATACACACTCTCCTGTTACACCCTCAGTCACACACTTACTCCATCTCCGTTTCTCTTCGTTGACCCAGCAACTCAGCTCTCCTCTTCACCCAACACTTGTTTTTTGATTTTCAACCTTCTTCCTTTTCTTCCCTCTCCTCCTTTCTTTTTCTTCTTCTTTCCCTCTCCTCCTCTCTTCTTCCTTCTCTTCCCCCCTCTTTGATATGTTGAGGAGAACCCAAATCTAGGTTCTCCAAATGGAGAGAAAAAAAAAAAAAAGAAGAAGATAATGAATTTGTTAGAAATTTTACAAATTTGATAATATAGTGTGTTGTTTGGTTAATAAAAAAATTGGAAACTTTCCGTCAACATTTCAAACCCAACTCCATGTCTAAAAGAGAGAAAAGGTAAATCATAATAACAAGAGGGAGAAAGGAAAGCAAGGAGAGTAAGAAATGAGCGTCTAGAATTAACGGATTAAATAACAGAAAGTGAAGATGTGTGACGAGGGTGTAGAAAAAAGGTAAATGTATCATGGTCTTTTTTTTTTTTTAATAATCTCGCTTCTGTAAAAATAGAGCTTCTTGATTTTTATTGTTTAGTTTACTTCTTTGTTTTTTTTTTTTTATTTGTAATTCGTTGCCTTTCACTGCTGTCCTCTTGCTACTTCTAGAATGCAGGACCATTTTGAGTGGGTAGGAACAGGACGAACAAGTGTTCGGATTAAGGGATTCAACAATGGCACAAAAGATTTGTCTACATCTAGCTGGAATTACAAGGTATTTTTCATTATCATTATTTCTCCTAATTATTCCAGCTTTGTTTTTCATTTCATTTTCTCATATGCTTATGTAATATGGATCAAGGCATGGTGTGAGGGTATGCATTTGCATTTCTGGGTATATTTAGGTGAACAAAAAGTTCTGATCTTTAGCATATCCTTTTTTTCATATTTTTGGCCGAAGCAAATATGTTGTATTTGAAAACACCAATTCAAGTTGGGATCTCTTATTCCAATGATTCCTTCTCTTATGGTTCTGTCAGTCACAAGATCACTGGTAAACATAATGTTCTAACCTTTTCGTCCGTGCTTTTTTTAATACATAAGTCCATTAATTTGAACTTATGAATTATGGTTTGATTTTTTTAATTTTGATTTTTTTTAATTCATAAGTCCAAATTAATGCAATTCATAAGTCCAAATTAATGCTTGAGAGTGTCAAAATCATGCATGAGAGTGACACTCTTATACATTAGTTTGGATTTATGAATTATGGTTCAAGTTTTTTAATTCAAACTAATGCATGAAAGTGTCAAAATAATGAAATTTGTACTTATAAATTATGATTCAAGTTTTTTAATTCATAAGTCCAAACTAATGCATGAAAGTATCACTCTCATGCATTATTTTGATACTCTTATGCATTAATTTGAACTTATGAATTATGGTTCAAGTTAAGTTTTTTAATTCAAATTAATGCATGAAAGTGTCAAAATAATGCACTTTCATGCATTAGCTTGGACTTATGAATTATGGTTCAAAGTGTTTTAATTCAAACTTATGCATGAAAGTGTCAAAATAATCACTCTCATGCATTAGTTTAGATTTATAAATTTAAAAAAATGGGACCATAACTTCGACTTATGCATTAAAAAAAAGCACAGACCAACTCTCAAGTATTAATTTACACTAATGAATTAAAAAGGCATGAACCAATTCTCAAGAACTAACTTGGACTTACGTCTTAAAAAGGACGGGAAGGTGTTGTCATAAGTTCAAAAAAGAACCGTCTTATGATGAGACCTCCATGTATATGACAGTCTCTGTTTTCCATTCTTTGCTTATAAATTGACCCAATTTTGTTCTCACATTTCATTCTCCGTAACCTTTCAGCAAATTCTTCACTATAGTGCAGGTTTCCGAATGGAAAATTTGAGGGTGGTTCTCCCAACAAGAGCTGTTACTCGTTATCACTACTAGAAAACATAAAATCACCGAGCAAAAATCACCGATGTAAGATGATTTGTTGGTGAATTAATAATTTACCGACAAAAAGAAAGTCTGTAAAGTGAGAAATAGTAGCATTAAAATCAATTTATGTTATTTTATTTTCAGAGGGGGACTTTGTCGATAAATTTTAGACAATACACACGTATCTTTTGTCGGTAAGACATATAAATATTCTCTCCCCCAGCTCCGGTAGCTTTTCCGGTGTAGTGGACAAAGAGTTTAGACACCTACGATGGTTTCGTCGGTAACTTCAAGATCATGCAACAACAACCTTGTCGGTAAGTTGCAAAGATCTTGGAAATATCTACTCAGGTAGCTTTTTAGGTGACTGAGCAGAAAATCCTATGGCCTACGTCGGTGAAGTTACTGGTGCAGTCACTCTGCAGAAGGTGGTGCAGTCACTCTGCAGAAGGTGGTGCAGAGCAACGATAAGTGCAATTTGTTTAATATTATTATTTTTTATATGTTTTTACATTAAATTTAATTATTTTATGTATATATATATTTAGAATTTAAACTATAAAATATTGTGATTTGTTCATTTGATATTAACATTATCAAATTTATTGTTTTAGATAAATTATATATATAGATGTTTGTTAATAATTTTTTAGTAATTTTTTTTTTTAAATTCTGGTGTGAAATTTTAATATCATAATAATTATTTGATGGCAATAAAAAATTCATCTTTCAACTTCCCACCATGCATTTGCCGGTAAATGATGGCGGGACTCTCAAAATTTTTGATTCTTAGCTTCCAACAATCACCTTGTCAGTGAAAAATAAAGCGGGAACACAAAATTTTTAGATATTTTTGCTCCCGCGTCAAATTTTATAGAACCTATGTGTCTTACGTCGGTAAAATGAATACCGACAAAGTACACATAGATAAGAGGCTGTATATATTCCCAGAACTGCCCAACCCTCTCATTTTGTTTTCGTCTTCCTCTTCTTCTTTCTTCTGCTCCCATATATGTCTCTCTTTCTTTCCATTAAAATGTTGCTCACTTAAAGGGTCACCAACGCACTTCTTTGATGGGTGTCGAACGGAGGTGGACATGATCGGTCATCGATGGAGCTTGGGTTCACTCAATTGGGTTGATTTTTGCCATGGTGACCTTCAAATTCCCTTCAAGGTGACCTTCAAGACTTGCATTCGACTGGAATGAAGGCGAAGAAGAGCCTTTGGTTCACTGGAGGAGCATTTCCTTCTATGTCACTATATGCCGGATCTAACCAATAGATTTCTTTCAGACAAGCATAGAATAAGCCTTATCTCCATTTTATGTTTATTTTTTTCACTGAACTGCTTGTGTGTAGAGAGGTGTATGGGTTCATTGTGTAAACATAGCATTTAACAGAAATAATATAAATTTCTTTTACAAATTGGTAACCCAGTTTTCCAATTAAGTTTTGTCGGTAAATTAAAATTTGGTTCAGACCACAGTTTTGTCGATGATAATTTTTAGACGTAAATTATTAATTATTTTGCAAATTGCTAATTTAAGTTTCAGATAAAGTTTTTGTCGGTAAATGAATGTCTATGTCTCAGTTGTACTTTTGTCAGTGAATATTTATAGATATATATTTCGTCGGTAATTTACTGACGTGACCGACTTGAAATGAGCTCCGACAGTACAGTTCCGGTAGTCAATTAAAGACATGCTTTTTGTCGGTAATTTGAAGGAAGTTACCGACATGAGTTTAAGTCACGTCGGTGAATTAATTACCGAGCAAGCTTACACTGACGCGACTATCACCGACATGATTCTTGTTGAAAATGTTTTTTACCGACAAGATCCCCTTTGTTTTCCGACATGGCTTCTTCTCGGTGATGCTGTGAATTCTAGTAGTAATTATATGGGATTGACTCCGGGATGGTCAGTGCCTCCAACCGGCACTTTGTTGAAGAAATGCCCAGGATCCCTCGAGATCGGGATTCAAGACAGTTTCTGGCTAGGGATACGCATGGGCACCGAATTTATCACCTTAAGTACAAGAGGAGGATGAGGGGACGCCGTCCGAAGCAAACAATAACTGGCCTAAGACACTTTTTTCAAGATCATGGTTTGCAACCTAGGGATCGAATTACTTTGTACAAGGAGGTGGGCAATGAGGTGAAGTTGATGGGAAAACTCATCTCTCCACTCTATGTGATCCACTTTGAGAGGGTTAACGAAGTTGCAGCCGGTGAAGATCCCGCTCCGTTGCAGGCTGGTGATGATCATGCTCCTTGAGGATTAACGAAGGTGTTTTCTGGTAGATGCTTTTGTTTTTGTTTTGGTTTTTTTTTTTTTTTTGGGTTTTTTTCACATCTTGCTGTTGTGGTTTTTCAATAAATGTAATTCTCTGGTAGATGTTTTTTTTTTTTTCTTTTTTTTTTTTTTTTGGGTTTTTTTCACATCTTGCTGTTGTGGTTTTTCAATAAATGTAATTCTCTGGCCTAAGACGTTTCTTTCAAGAGCATGGTTTGCAATCTGGGGATCTAATAACTTTGAACAAGGAGGAGGGCAATGAGGTTATCTGATGGGAAAACTTGTCTCTCCACTCTATGTGATCCACTTTGAGAGGGTTAACGAAGTTGCGGGCCGCTGAGGATCATACTCTTTGAGGAAGCTAAATCAGCCTGTTAAAAGATCAAGGCGTTTTCTGTT